CAGGGGGCAAGTCTGCGGACTGCAATCGCATAGTTTCAGAGAGGCAGAGCCATGGCCAGCTGGGAGTCCTTCCTGGATGGGGCAAGGGACCTGCAATGCCCTCCCAGCAGGCGTGGTCCTCAGGCAAAGCGATCTCTCTTCCCTTAAGCAGGTTAACTCCCCTCATCTCTACTATGGAACCTCAGAACATTGGCCTCCCTTAGATGCCTGCAGCCCTACAGGTGTTGGAATCAGTCATCCTGTCCTCCCCTACCCACCTCCCAGTGCCTGGCCCCTTCTTCCGGTATTTTCCTCAGCTCCTATAGACATACTCAGTATGTGGCTCCCAGTTCTGAGCTTCTAATTCCTGCTGGGGGCTGGAGCACTGCCAACAACTGCACCAACATCGCCTCTCTGGCTCTGGGTCCCTACCTCTATTAATACAGCCAAGAGCTGCACCCAGTGTCGGCTTCTAGGGAATTAAGGGTCAAAAAGCCCCAGGTCATTTCCAGGTAAATAGATGTCAGAGGGGACCTGCCCTATCTCTACTTATGCAATTGATATTTTGAACCTAAGAAATGGGAGACTCTTGAAATCAATACTTTTAAACTTTATCTTCTAGTTTCAGCCTGCCATTCCAGCCTGAAGTTGGTTCCCAGAATATTTACTTTTCCTCCTGCCTCCCTCAAAATGGGAAATTCCTCTAGGCTGAGCCCCCACACACATGGAGAGTGTGACTGCAGGGCCACCCCCAGGCTGGATTCACAGATTACAGAAGGCAGTTTCTTTAGCATCCTGCCATCCCAGCCATGCAGGGGACACTGCATTTGCAGGGAGTGGCACCAGCCCACTGGTGCCACAGAGCTCCCCGTGTCCCACAGTGGGCACAGCTGCCCTGCGTAACAGCTGGCCACCCCTCCCTAGTGGCCCTAGAGACCCCAGGCCCTGCCTACCAGCTCCTGGATGCCCTGGGTGATGGCCTTGTGCCAGGTGCTGATGATGGCCTCTGAGTCGTGCTGGATCAGGTACTCTGAGCCATCGCGGCTCCGTAGCTAGAGGGACACAAATCACTGGGTCATCTCTGGTTTCCTAGGTCTTCCCTGGTAGTTGGCCCCGAGGGGTGGGTACAGAGATGGAGGTGACCTATCCCGTATCCCCAGGAACTCAGAGCCTAATGGAGCCAAGGACTTCCACCTCACTTAAAGCAGTGGGTGACAGCTTCTCTGGGTTACAGAGGACCAAACCGAGGCTCAGTGAGTTTTAGCAGCTTCCTCATGGGCACACAGCTAGTGACAATGGAGGGCAGGTCTGCATGGCTCAGCTATCAGGGAAACTTCCCCTGCCCCGTCCCACCTCCCCATGAGCCGCAGGACCTGGCAGTTCTCACCCAGAGCACTGGCCTGCAAAAAACTAAGGGAGGGAAGCTTCCTGAGGCACAGTCCCGGCCACTGGAACTAACAGGGAAGGAAATGTGGGGAGAGAGGATTCGAAAGCAGATAATGGCTGATCCCAGAGAAAGTGAGTATCCCCAACCCCCCTCCCACAGGCTCACTGGGGACCTAGAGTGCTGCCCCTCCTTTAGCAGCCAGGAGTCCCCACCCCCTCTCGCCCTCCAGCCTGCGCAACGCATTCCCTTTCAGCCCACTTCATGGAGAAGCAGAAATTATACAAAACACCAGAGGGAAACTTGCTACAACAGGCCTGCTGCTCCAGCCCTTTCCGATTGGATGGATCCCTCCGCAGCCTCTGGCTCTGAGGGCCCGATTTCAGGGTTAATGTGAATGTTGGGCCCTGGTGGCTCACACCGGCCCTGCCCTTTAGGTCCAGTGAGAGAGGCAGCAGAAACTGTCTCAAACAAGGAATAACTTCCAGAATCAGAGACGACTGTCTTTTGGCTGCCCTCCTTTTGAACTTATACATGAATATTATTAATATTTAAACTGCTTTAAAAATGAAAAAAAAAGGAAAAAGAAAAACGCGTGTTCCACCCCTCCACCTTCCTTGCAGAGACTAGAGAACCTTGAGTGGCGGCCAGCACAGCCCCACTGTAATCTAAGCAGGCAGGAGCCCTGCTGGGGATCACCTCAGAGAATGGCCTAATGACACTTCTAAAACAACCTCTATTATTGGTGGCAGCTCTCTCAAAACATAATCAGCTCATATTTGAAAGTTTCATACAGAAGGCAAAGCTGGTCTGAAGATTCATTCTGGTTAAAAAAAAAAAGGCAAGGCCACATAGCTACACAGCAACGTACGGCACAACACGTCCATCCTGTTGAACGCACAGGCAGGCTGAGTGTACTAGCGGCTCTCGGGGGACAGATACGGACGTTTTCTGTGGCTTTGGGGTGACTAGGGAGACCTGCTGTGGACATTTCCTGGGCCCAACTAACCCATCTGTTCTCGATGATACAGAATTTGGGGCTGTCTCTTAAGGAACATCCTGGAGTTGCCTATAGGCCACCCCGAGTGTAGAGAGGGTGGCCGCCAGCCAGCCAGGAGGCAGGAAGTTCCTTGACTTCCACTCAGGCCTGTCAGCCTTCCCCTTGGCCTGAGCAGCTTCCAAGAGTACCGTCTGCCTTCTGCTCCTTGCCAGCACAGACAGCGCAGAAAGTCCTGCTCTGACACTTTCATCAAAAGCCCACAGATGACCTTTGTAAGAGAACTGCTTGAAGGCTGTCCCTTGAGGTCAGAGAAGGGACATGGCTAGTAAACGTGAAGTCCCTCCATGTGACACTAGAGCAGACATTGCTACTTGATTACAGAGCCCTACTCTGCGCCAAGCCTGGAGAAGTCTCCAGAATTCTCAAGATAGCGCCAGAACTAATGATCAGAGTAGCTCATGACATGAAACCAGTTTTCCAACTCTGCTCTGTAGATATCCTGGTTCTGAGACTGAACGAACCTTGGTGAATCATCAGAAAGCTACACACTCAGGCTGCCTGCAGAATGGCTTTTTCTGAGCTGAGATACGAGATTATGCTTTTAGCTATCATCATAATATGGTACCCAAACAGCACTGAGACCCCTAACCAAACCTCCGGGGAGCTTTTTTGCAGGCACTGGCCTCATGCCTCTAGATCCCATGTTTGTGAAGCTACACACCAGACATTTTATGAGAGCTAAGGGTTAGGCTGGGTGCAGTGGCTCACGTCTGTAATTCCAGCACTTTGAGAGGCTGAGGCGGGAAGACTGCTTGAGGCCAGGAGTTTGTCTCTACAAAAAAATTTTAAAAAATTGGCTGAGCATGATGGTGCATGCCTGTAGTCCCAGCTACTCGGGAGGCTGAGGCAGGAGGATCGGTTGAGCCCAGGAGTTTGAGGCTACAGTGAGCTATGATCACACCCCTGCACTTCAGCGTGGGCGACAGAGCCAGACTGTCTCCAAAAAGAAAAAAAAAGCGCTAAGAGTTAGGAAGAAACTTTGATCCTAAGGGTAGGTTGTTTTATTATATTTTCAACAAGAGCCATGTAACTGATAGGCCTTCTCTTTTCACCTTCACTACCAGGAAAACTGGAGCTAAATTTTTGCAACCACCACCACCTTAGCACCTGGGTATCACGTGCCCCTAATTCCTCTCCACCTTGAGACCATCTCTCACTTGTTTTGCCTGGTCCCAGTTTTACCAGTTCACTGCATGTTTTTGTTGTAACCTGCCTCAAAATGTTTAGGGACTGAGGTGTGGGGAATGAGTAGTTTAAAAACAAGACAGTGGCCAGGGCGCGGTGGCTCATGCCTGTAATCCTAGCACTCTGGGAAGCTGAGGCGGGAGGATTGCTTGAGCTCAGGAATTTGAAACCTGCCTAAGCAAGAGTAAGACCCCATCTCTACTAAAAACAGAAAAATTAGCTAGGCGTCATGGTGTGTGCCTATAGTCCCAGCTACTCAGGAGGCTGAGGCAGCAGAATCGCTTGAGCCCAGGAGTTTGAGGTTGCTATGAGCTATGATGACGCCATGGCACTGTAGCCTGCGTGAAAGAGCGAGACTCTAGTTCTAAAAAATAGAAAAAGAGAAAAAAAAGAAAACCGAGACAGCACGTGAACAGTGAAGGGTGTGGTGCTGGGAGGACCCTCGCCTACTGGGGGAGCCTGACAGCTCGTCCACTGCCCTGGCTTGTTCACTGAGGACCCCGTCCAGTTGGAAGCTGGGCTCTGGCCCAGGGGCAGGGTTGGGGACCTGGGGAGAAATAGCAGGTTGCCCAGCCCGTCAGAGTAAGCACCAGGGTCAGGAAGCTTCCTGCTGTAGGTTGGGATGCAGCCACCATTCTAGGCAGGACAGGGTCTCAAATCCCAGAGGCCTCTACTTCTCACCACCCTCCAGGGCAAGGAAAAGTAACTCAGCTCCTGGAGAGGGAACTGCAGAATCCATGGCCTTGAGCCCCGAGAATTCCAGCCCCAACTCTTCCCAGGTGCTCCTCCTTGGGGATTGCCAACATTGAGGGTCCCTGGACATCAGGACACCCCTTCTCTCCTTCTCCCCACCCCACCACTCACCTCTAGCACATTCTTCTTGCTGGATTTGTCTTTGGGGACCCAGGAGAGAGAGGCCCCCTTCAGCTCCACCGTGTACTCAGGGGTGGAGAATTTGGAAGGCTGCCTCTGTGGGACAGGGAGGAAGGGTGGGCAGGGTCACAGGGAGCCCTCAGCTCAGGTGGGGCTGCTACTGCACTGTGGCTGTAGGGACAGGATGCGATCACTGGCGGGGCCAGACAACAGCTCTGGGTGAAAGAGACCTAAGGGTTCCTGGAACCCAGAGATCCTGCTGCCCACCCAGGAGATGAAGGAGCAGAGCCCCATCCCTGTGAGGTGTGTCCAGGCCCCAGCCTCCCTGCCCTCCAGCCTCGAGCCGTCTACCCTCAAGGACTGCTCCCCATCCCCAAGGTGGCTGAAACTGCTTGTCTTAGGGTGAACCTCATGTCATCACCCCCTCCCTGCCAAGGCCGAGCTCCTTTTGACACTCATCGACCCCTATCTCAGACCTGGTCTTTTCCAAACCAGACAGAGCAGCTGGGGTGGTCCCTGCCATGGGGCCCTGGGCCTCACCAGGCCTACTGCAGTTGAGGTCTTTGAGTCCTTGAAGAATGTCAGGACACCACCCTCCAGCACTGTCCACGAGGCACTCCAGTGCTTCTTCCTAGATGGGGGTGGGGAAGCGGCGGGTGGGCAGGACTTAGATTTGGGCCTAGGCTGAGGCCCCCCTCCTAGCCCCAGGAGCAGGGCACAGAGCTTAGGAACACAGCCTAGGGCACCCGACTGTGAGGGGTGGACTCCCAGATCTACCACCTGGTAGCCAGGTGGCCTTGGGCAAGTCACTTTACTCTCTGGGTGCCTCAGTTTCCTCACAGGACCTCTCATGGAGTCACTATGAAGATTGATTAGAGCCTGGCATATGGGAAGTGAACTTCATCTGTAAGGCCCACCCTGCCCTGGTCCAAGTGCAGAGGGGCTCTCACCGGAGCCGCTTTCCCTTGTCCACCGTCCTGGTGCGATGCAGCACCCCTGCCTTGTCCAGGGTCTTGATCTAAGAGAGAGAAGGGGAAAGAGGGGGTAGTCCAGAGGGTGAGCCATGGGGGGCAGGCTAGTCTCCCCCTGAGCTGCAACTCCCCATGGGCTGGGCCTGTGTCTCCACTGAACGCTCGTGACCAGCCCAGCCTCCTGGCTGGAGGGGGTTGGTGACTGCTCCCACAGCAGCAGCAGCAGGAGAGATTCCTTCCCACTTCCCAGCCTCACCCACCTCTGGGGCCCATACAGGAGACAGATGTGTCCCACCCAGTCCTTGCCCCCAGGATCTCCAGACACTCCCCATTTCTTCTGTGGTGGTCCTGCCAGGGCCTTCATGTCACCCCCGTTACCTTCTCCTCAGGGGGGCTGGCCTGGGCTGGAGCATCACTGTCCTGGCTGGATTTGCAGATGCTTCGAGGGGCAGGGACAGGGACCTGGGGAGAAAGACACTGTCATATACAGTCCCCCTCCTCTCCCCAGCACTGTCCCGTCCCCGGTTGGTTACCTGGGGCAGCTCCCACCGGACGGAGGAGTCATCTGGGTTGTAGAAGTATGGTTTCCCGTGCTGGTCCTGCAACCTCACCCACTGTGGGGAGAGGTGTGATCAGAGCCCCCCACCCAGCTCATGAGAGGGGAGAAAAGGCTCCCTCCAACCGGGGTCCAAGACAGCACCAGGAAGCTCGGAGAGGCAGATGCAGGTGACTCCGAATCTTGGGCTGGCCTAGGGTCTGCGTGGGAGCGGCAGTTCAGAGTACGAAGGGGAGCTAATAGTGAGGAAAGTGGAGGGGAGCGACCCCGCGGCTGTCTGGGTCCATCTGCCCACTGCCCCTACCTGCTCTTGGGTGAAGTGGTTGGTGTAAAGCGTCTGCTTGTCCTGGCTGATGTGACAAGACCAGCCGGGGGGTGTGGTCAAGGGAGAGGTGGGGCCGGGCTCACCGAGGGAGCCCACGGGGGAATAGTCTTCCTCCGGGTAACTGGTCAGCAACTCGGGGTAGTCCGTCTCGGGGGTGGGAGGCTGCAGGGACCAGAAGCTGAAGTCAGAGGCTCTCAGTGCCAGTGCTGCCCCTGGCCCCGCCCTTTTGGACCAAGCCCACCCCCTTGCCATTGGGTCCCTGGGGCTAGGTGTAACAGGAGGTGGGGCCAGATGCGCTCAGAGATAGCCACGCCCATCCTACTCCTCCCCCACCCTCTGGCCCCTGGGTTGTGGGACAGGAGGCGGGGCCAGAGGGAATCTCAGCGATAGCCCTGCCCCTGGATCCGCCCCTCAACCCTCAGGTTGGAGCTGGTAGAGAAGGGGCGTGGCCAGGGCTCCCAGAGAGGGCCCCGCCCCTCACCCTCTGGTCCCTGGGGCTGCCAGGGCTCAGGCTTGGCTGCATCTCCAGCTCGTCGTCCTCGGGCTCGTCCTCCCAGGCGGTCTCCCCGGTCAGGGGGTTGTAGAAGAACACCCTGCGGCTCTCCTCATCCCAGTACTGGCCCCACTCGGTCTCGAGGCTCTCGCGGCTGCCCACCGAGGTCGGGGAGGTGGCTGGGCTAGCGGAGCCCTCGGCAGCCTCGAAGGGCGACTCCCAGGTCGTCACGCCCGTGTCGGGGTTGTAGTAGTAGGGGCGCCCGGTGCTGGCGTCCGTGTGCGTCTCCCACACCGGGCTGGGGTGGGGGGCCGCGGCAGCGCCCGGCGAAGTGGCCGGAGGCTGCCTCTCTACGTTCGCGTACACGGGCTCCGGAGGTTCGTCCACCTACAGAAGGAGGAAGGAGACGTGACTTTCAGGGGACCACTGGGGTCACACAGTCCCGACTCGGCCACTTGCCACCTGGGCGACCTTCAGAAAGTCACAATGCCTCCCAGCCTCAGTTTCCCCGGGTATAAAATGTCTGCTCTGCCCATTCCAGAAATTGTAGTGAAGATAGAATGAGGAAATGTTCTTGAAAGTGCTTTTCAAAGTATTTAGTCTCCATATGGATGGGACAATTGCATTAATTGTATTTATTACCAATAATAAAATGTTGATAACCCAGATCTTACAGCTGTGTACTCACAGAGGCAAGTAAGATGTTGGGCGGGAACAAAGAAGTGGCCTGGGACCACCCCTTTTGGTGGTCCCCATTCAGAGCCCGGTGCATTCCACAGCCCCCAGTGAAAGCTCTGGGATTGGAATCAACATGGCCTCTGGATTTGGGGCTAGAATTTTCCAGTGTGGAATTTGCAGGTGTCAGAATCAATTCCAGAGAAGAGAGGGAGAAAGAGATGACAGCCAGATGGGCTGGAAATGGACGGGCAAAGAAAGGTACGTCCCTTTGTCCCTCCAAAAGAAAGTGAGCACAAGTGGGGGGGGGTTTCAGTGTCACAGAAGGTGAGCCTGGTGTGTTTACGGTGCTCACAGAACAGCAGCTCTCCAGGTGCACACCTCAGGGCTCCCTGCTGGCTGCAGGGCAAAGTCTAAGTCCTTCACCAGCCCTAGGAGGCCACTGCTGCCTGCCTGGGCTTCTACCTTATTTCCTGCCACTCCTTGCCCCTTGCCTTGAACTCTAATCCAGTCATTGGAAGTCCCCACCCTCTGCTGTGTCTCCCGCAGGCCTGGCTCATTTCACAGCCTGCCCTGCCCCATCGCCTCCCCTTTCTTACCTGGCTGACTCCTTTTCCTTCATCAGGACTCAGCCCAGGTGCCAGGTTCAAGACCTTTCCTGAGATTCCTCCCACATGCCACCACCCTCCGCCCAGCAGAGGGACAGATAACTATGTTATCAAGCCCAGGGCAGAATAGCATTCAGGGATTAATACTGTTTTCTAAGAATACATAATGCCCCAGGGAAAAAGCAGATTTCAAAATGGTAGAGTTAGCATAATTTCAACTTTGTGTTTTAGAAACCTTCCAAAGTGCTAAGAGAGGTCCCTCTCTGGGCACTGTGATGATAGCAGCTATATTTGTTTTTGTTTTATTTTCTTCTTCAAACTTTTCTGCAGCCTCAACATTTTGCATCACAAAACTTCTAGAAAATCATAGAAGTTCCTTGTCGACTGTGACATGTTCACTAAACTCTAAACTCCTCAAGAGGGGAAGCATGTCCTGCTCAAGGTAGCCTCTCCCTGGGCCTTAGGCAGGAGCCTAAAAAAACATTCATTCGTTTTTCACCAAACTGATGCTAAAACAAAACAAAACAAACAAAACGAAACATTGATTTGTCCAACAAAGATGTGCCTGCTCTGTGCCAGGCACTGTTCTAGGCACTGGGAATGCAGCAGTGAACAAATGGACACAATTCCTGCCCAGGCAGGGCAGACACTCGAGGGCACATGTGTGTAAATGGTGGTGGCAAGGGGGTGATCACTGCTAAGCAAGAAAGCAAAAACAAAGCAAAGGGTCATGACAGTTTTAGACATGGTGCTGGTCCCGGGTACACAGGGGACAGGGAAAGCTGGGGACCCCAGTCCATCAGTTCCTCACTCCTCCCCCTTACTCCTCCAGGCTCCTGTGTGGCTAAGATGGGAACCCCTACCCTACTTCTCCTTCGTCTCCCCCCAGCACAGCCCTCATGTGGCTTCCTGCCATCCAGCCATACCAGGTCTCTCACCAGCCCCCAACACAAAAGGCATCTTCCTACCTCTGTGCCCTTGTTGCAGCCGTTCCCTCAGCCGAGAATTCCCTTCTCTCATCCCCTGCCTACCCACCTTCTGCTCCTCCAAGGCTCTGGGCTCATAAGCCTCTCCAGAGAAGGGTCTAACCTGCTGGCACTCTGCCCAGCGCTCTGTTAGGGTCAGTTAGTTGTCCACCTGTCTGCCCACCTTCTCTGCCCCACGAGGCACGGTTTTCTTGAAAGCGGGACCAAGCATGCTGTGGCTGATTCCATTTGTCCCCCAGCAGCTGGCCCAGTGCCCCAGAGCACACAGCAGATCCGCCAAAAACTTACTGCTTGAGTACGCTAGTCAATCTCATGCCGAATTTCAGCAACACACACACGAACACACCTGACGCTACAGGAGAGACGGGGGTGAGCTTTGGGCAAGAACTTCCTGAGAGCGAAGGTTTGAACCACAGAAACCAGGAGACTCCTCAGGAGGACAGGATGGCAGCAGTGGCTTGAGGAAGGCGGATGAACCAGACACACCACCTACCCACCCCAGCTGGCCCCACTGAGGCAGTGGCCTTGCCTGTCCCTGGGGCAGGGGTCGCAAGGGCCCATTGGGGGTGGACGAGCCAACAAAGGAGCCAGGCTCTTCGGAGCAGAGATTTCCACCCAGCAGGCTGCAGGCCGTGGCCCTGAGTCCATGGGGAGTCCCAGGCTGGTGGGGCTGATGGGATCTGGCACACAGGAACACCCCCAGCAGGCACAGAGGAAATCTGGGAGGTACAGGTTTAGGTCCCCAGCATAACAGGGCTGTCACAAGGAAGAGAAGATGCAGCATCACACTGTGGGGGCAGGGTGGCACCCTTCTGAAGGAAGCATTTGGAAGACTGGGGCTGCCCCAGACACAGGCTGCTGCTGGGCTAGTGAGGGGCCCTCGCTGGAGGTGAGCAGCAGTGTCCACTCCCTGCTGGGATGCTGTAGCTTCCTTGAGGCCCCTTCAACTCTAGAACTCTCCATAGAGGCCCCGCAGTGCTAAGTTCCTCTCCTGGCAAAGCCTCAGCTGGGCTCTGACCTGCTCCTGGGGCCAGGTGGGGCCGGGTCCTCCATGCCCTCTGGCCTTCAAGTGGTTACAGCAGGACCTGCCACCCCCATCCCAGTTCACGGAGATCCAGACAGGACCCACACGCAGCCCATAAACAGGGACCTCGCTCTTAGGCTCTTGGGTCATATCCTAGAGGCAAGAAGAGGCCTCCCCACTTCAGGCCAGAGGACGAGCCAAGAGGGGCCCCAGTTCTTGCCACACCAGGCTGCCCAGATCCCCAGCACTTCTTCCCAGCGACACGCCCCTTGTCTCCACTTCCCTCCCTGCCTCTCCTGCCCAAGCTGACCACCTCTCAGAAGGTCAAGGCATCTGAGAAGGAAAGAGAAAAGGCAAGACAAGCCTCAACCTCCAGGAGACCAGCCCTAATGCCACTGTCTCCTACCTGTGCCCGCACGGCCCGACTCTGCCTCCTGGTCAGTTTGGCGATAATGTCCACCATCCTGGCCCCTCTGACCTTCTGGGACGGAGCCCTGGGAAGATTTTGGGGGTGGAGCGCAAGGACACAACCCCAGGGCTGGCACAGAGTGACAGGGAAACAAGAAGTTGCCTCGAGATGGCGGGAGGCTGAGACTCCAGCCCATTTCCTGTCAGGGCTGCGGAAGTGAGTGCTGCCTGAGGTCGGGGAGGGTGGGGTGCAGGGGCCTCAGGTTGGGGTATTTTATGCTTCCAGAAACACACACCATTGGCTGTCCCCCTTGGTGCTCTGGTGACTGATGAGCTCTGAGCCCTAAGCCCAGACACAGCCACGGGAGCCTGCTGGGGAGGGGCGTGCTGCAGGGATGGGGCAGGCAGAGGGGCACCCTCCAGTGCTGGGGCCCGGGCTGGCCTGGAGTAGCTCCTGGGGCGGAAACAGGACAATGAGTGGCTGTCAACTCCTCCAAGGCCCAGGGAGGGTGTGATGGGAAAGAGGAAGCTTGTGGGGGAGGGGAGGGGTTCCCAAAGAGGAAGGGGTCTGGGCAGATACGGTAGCAGAGGGAACCAGTGTCTGGATCCTGCCAGCCACGCAGAGGACGCGAGGGATTCTGACCACACCACTATCTGCCCGCCTGGCTGCCCAGTCTGTCTCCTCCAGACTTGGTCACCAAGGCGCACGTGCCCTCCCATACCTGTGTGCCCACGTGCACCCGCTCCCACCTGCATGTCTACGACCATGTACATGTCTGTGCCCCCCGACCCTGTAAGGACCCAGAGGAGGGGGACAGGCACCAGCTGCCCCTCCTTACCAAGGTCAGATCTTCTCCTCCCTTCACCTTCTCATGCAGGTGGGCATTCAGCTCTGGCCAAGCACAGTGGGCACAAGCCCCAGTGAGCTGTGGCCCCTCCTCCAAGCCCTTGGTGACTGTCTTATCCTCTCCCACCAGAGGTGCTTCCTCCCCAGCCCCAAAGGCCAGGCAGCACCCTGCCAACCCACTCCCCCCATCAAGGCCATATCACTCCCAGTTCAGGCTCTGACCTGCACCCTCCTGCCTTGAGCCCCATCTTTCTATTTCAGTGATCCTTGTGTCCCCACCCCCATTCTCCTTTCTCCCTGGCCCACGTCCCCCAGGCCCCTCCTCTCCTGCACCCGCTGTGGGCTCAGAGAAAGGACACCCAAGTAGAGCCAGACATGGTGTGGATTTGGGGTAGGGGACACCTGGTGAGGTCCCACTGAGAGCAAGTCTGGGCCCCACACCCTACTCTGTCCTTGAAAACCCTCCCATCACTTCCCACACCATCCCCTATGCCTGGCTCAGAAGCCCAGACCCCAGGTGCAGACTAATCCCATCCTCCCTACCAAGGTGGAGGACAGGAGGGAATCACAGAAGTCTGGAGGCCTCATACTTGTCACACATGGGACCCATCTCTGTCCCTATCCTGAGGCCAGGGTCTTGGACACACTGCCCCCACCAACATGGGTCACCAAGAGAGATGCAGCCAGACCCCAGAGACAGGGGCAGCCTCTGCAAATTCCAATGTAGCCAGAAACTCTGAGCCCCAGGGAGGAGCTGGATGGGGGAGGGGAGAGGACAGATGTGGGAAGCCGGCCTCAGCACTGCCCTGCAGGTGGAACAGGGGGCAGGGTCCCCTTGTGGCAGGGATCAGAATAGTCTGTGGGGAGGCTGGGAACTGGCAGCCAGCACCTCACCTGCTTCTCTTCCCCTGTGAGAGGTCAGGCCCACACGACTGGGGTCTGCCAGCGGTTCCGGTTCTGGCCCACACTACAGGGACTGAGCAAACCTACAGGGCTCCGGGCCGCTCTTGGCTACAGAAGTTGGCTCTCAGCCTTCTGTCTGTGCTTCCCCTGCCCCAGGGAGAGGAGGTGATGACCACAGGGCTCCCAGTGGGGTCCTCCTCCCTCAACCACACCCTCTCGCCTCTGAGAGGGGAGGGGCAGAGGACATGCCAGAACAACCAGCTGCACAACACCCGCCTCTTCCCCTCTGACCTCACCCCTCCCTTCCCTCCTAGGAGGCGCTGGGGCAGGAACAGGTGCACTAGGAAATCCTATCCTCTGCGGCTAGAGGCAAAAGAAATGCCCCCAACTTAGCAACTCAGCCCAGGGACTGGCTCAGGGGGCGGCGAGGGGACGTGGCCTCCCCTGTGGACTCAGTGAGCCTGCTAGGTGCCACCCCAGATGGGTGGCGGGAGAGCGGGAAGGAACCGTGAGCTTTGTCTCGAGGAGCTCAACCGTGTCCACAGGATGGGTCCCTCCCCGGCCACACCTACACCAGCCGGGACAGAGGCTGGTCTCACTCTGTGACCACCCGGCCTGGCTCAGAGCTACACATCCACTAAACGTGTGGGGCTGCGGGTGACCCTGCAGGGTCCTGGTCCTCAAGCCTCATGAGTATTTGGGGGAGCCATGCCTGGCTCAGCTCTGAGGCTCTGACGGAACCAGTTTGGGCTGGGGCCTGGGCAAAGTATTTTGTTTTAAGGCTCGTCAGGGGATCCGACCTTGCAGCCCAGGTAAGGTCCCAGGGCTCAAAGTAGTCTTATCACGTGGATATAGCTTGAGATTCCAAACATAATGGCTTTAGGTGAGATTCTTCTCTTGGGCTTGGGGCAGAAGCTTGGGTTGATTAGGAGAAAGGAATGGAGTGGGAGTCCAGAGACTTGGGTTCCCTTGTAGACTCTGCTGCAGCTTCTCTCTGAGCATCCTCTTGAATTTCTAGGCCTCCGTTTCTTTATCTGCAGAATGGGGGTGTCATCCCTGCCCCCTCACAGGGCTGGTTTCTGTGAAAGAGTCGAGCAGGCCCCTGGGTTCGTGGGGAAAAGCAGGGCTGCACTTCTGCTTTTCTGGCTTCAGATTTCCTTTTGACTGGGCGCCCTAGGCCTTGGACTCTGCCCCCAGCCTCTGGGTGACCTCATGGGGCTGCCTGCTCGGGCTGCTCCTCCAGGGCAGGGTGGGATCCGGGGTAGGGCGCCTTCACCAGCTCATGCCACCTGAGCTCTCAGAAGGCTGGCAGAGACGCAGCAGGGCCCGCTGGGGCCAGGAGGATCAGAAACAGTTCATCAGAGAACCTCCCAGCCCAGGGAGGTGGGAAGATGTGACCAGGGGGTGGTCACCTTTTGCCCGTCCCCTCAAACGTATCCGTGTCTGCATGCACCATTCCTTCTCCCTCCCCCAGTGGAGGGCACGGGGTCTCCTGTCCAAGCCAACCTCCCCAGCCTGGGCCTAGAGGACCCCATAGCCTCCCACTTGCTCAGAAAATGACCTCAAATCTCCAGCCCTTCCCCTCCTGACTACCTTTGTCCCTTTGGAATTTCAACAAACTCGAGGTGTCTCCATCTCAAAAAGTGTGCTCCCTGGACCCAGCTCGCATCGCCTTTTACCGACTAATTCCTTTCTCCCTTCCTCCTTTTCAGAGCTGACTTCTCTGTCCCTCACTTAGACACTAGCCCCCTGCTTGGAAGTCCTTCCACATTCCCTTGATGACAGATCTGGTCCTCCTCCGGCCTGACTTCTCTCTGGTGTCGCTCCTTACAGTTCTCTCCTTCCTCATTTTCCTCCTCTTCCTCTGGCTGCTCCTTCTCAGTGCTGTGGGCTGGGGCTGCACCGCCTCCGCCATGGCCTCAGTGCCGGGTATCTCACCTGGCTTCCCACTCTGCTGCCTGCAAGAGCGCGACCAGCTGCAGGTCACCAATTCGCAAGCCCCCTCTAGGCTCACACATCCAACTGTTGCCTGGGTGTCCTTTGTAGGCCTCAAAAGACGTCCAAAGTCAAATTGTCTCCCTCCCCCATGTCAGCATCATCTCTGTTACTCAGGTAGAATCATCTGTGACTCCTGTCTCCTTAGTGTCATCTGTCCCTGAGCCCTGGTGATCCCCCCGCCTGAGCCTTTGGATCCCTACCGGTTCACAGGTAACACAGGTTAGAACAGGGAAACACTGCCACAAGGAAGCCAGCACACAGGACAGACTGACACCCCACCGGGCAACTGGTCTGGTCTCTTGAACAAGTGAGTGTCGAGGCAAAGGAAAGGGTGGGGGATATTCAAGAGAGATTAAAGAGACAACCAGAAGCGGAGGGAGGGAGGGAGATGTGTTAGTGGAGGCAATTTGACTATAGCCTAGGTCTTAGACCACATTCAAGAATGAGTGTTAATTTTGTTAATAGCTATAATAATGGTAGGGTGGTTATGAAAAACAAAACATTACTTTTCAGAGATGCATGCTGAAGTTTTCAGGGGTGAAATAGGATGTCTGGAATTTATAACTCCTCAGTGGAAAATAAATAAATAATAAAAATAAACATGGCAAATATTGGCTGGGTGCGGTGGCTCACGCCTGTAATCCTAGCACTCTGGGAGGCCAAGGCGGGAGGATTGTTTGAGCTCAGGAGTTCGAAACCAGCCTGAGCAAGAGCGAGACCCCGTCTCTACTAAAAATAGAAAGAAATTAATTGGACAACTAAAAATACATAGAGAAATTAGCCAGGCACATGCCTGTAGTCCCAGCTACTCGGGAGGCTGGGGCAGAAGGATCGCTTGAGCCCAGGAGTTTGAGGTTGCTGTGAGCTAGGCTGACGCCACGGCACTCACTCTAGCCCGGGCAAAAGAGTGAGACTCTGTCTCAAAATAAATAAATAAATAAACAAACAAACATGGCAAATATTGTTACATCTAGGTGACAGGTATAATAGTATTCATTAAAAAAAATATTCTTTGTGACCAGCCTGAGCAAGACCTTGTCTCTACAAAAAGTAGAAAAAAATTAACTAGGTGTGGTAGCGCTCACTTGTAGTCCCAGCTACTGGGGAGGCTGAGGCAGGAGGATCGCTTGAACCCAGGAGTCTGAGGTTGCTGTGAGCTATGATGACACCACTTAACTCCAGCCCAGGCAACAGAGAGGGACCCTTTCTCAAAAAAATAACAAAATAAATTCTTTTTATTTCTCTGTAAAAAGAATTTGAAAATTTTCATAATAAAAATGAAAAAAAAATCCTCAAACTTTTTTACTATTCGCAATCCTCACTGTTAGTACCATACAATGGTACAAGTTCGTTATTTCTCATCTGGAAACAGACTTGCCCTTCTAACTCTCCCCTACCCTGCTCTGTCTCAGACAAAGTGATTTTTCTCCCTTTAA